TTTTATTTTAACAAAAGCACAAAATTCTGTATGGATTAAATGAAGAAAAATGCATACTACATGACTGTTTAGTGAAAGCTATCATGCAGTACCTGAGAATTTCAGAATATAACATTTACAAAGCAAATTTTTAATTTGAATTGTAAATATGCAAATATAGAAAGCCATTTGAGATATCTCCAACTTGCAAATCCGTTGCAATCAGGCAGAGTACTGAAAATCCTTCATCGGACAGGTGAGGCTGCCCTCTTTATATACTATCTCTGTAGAGGTGCTCCTCCTAAATAGATCCCTAGTTCATGTGCCTAATGTACTTACAGTGTGTGTTTATACATGTAGTTTGTTTGCTAGTTTTAATTTTACAAAGACCACTCAACTCACATGAACCCTCTCCTGCCATTCTAGTGCATTTCACAGTCATCTGTTTAGTCACTGATTGTGTCATTTCTAATTTTTTGCATGGCCACCATCCATTTCTCCAGCTCCGGACAGATGAGATGAATGGAAAGGTAGACGGAGAAGATGAGGAGGAAGACTATTTAGATGAAGAAGAAGATGATGATGAGGAAGAAGAGGAGGATGAAGAAGAGGAGGAAGAGCACCCAGAGAAAGAAGAAGAGGGGGAAAAGTGTGATGAGAAGGAAGATGTTCTAGATGAGAAGAGAAAAGAGACAGAGGAACAGGAGCAAAGCATTACAGAGCCAGACATACAGGTGCCCTGAAACCCTTCATTCATGCCGTTTAGACTAATTTTGCATGAACATAATGATTTAGCGTCACATCAGTAAACAACTGCAGTATTGCTTTGATTTGTTTGTGTGATGTCATTTTCTTACCCCTACAGAAAAAGCAGATTATGAAAGACGCATCTGTCCCCGATGGACCAAAGAAAGGTTAGTGTTTTTTTACTTTTCAGCATGCTTTTTTCATTTTTCACTATTACTATACAGTCCCCAAGTTTTTAGTCTGTCAGTTTTGAGGTCATCTATAAAGGGAAGCTTATTTTCACCACAGAATAAAAATATAAAAAACGGTACCTGCCACATTTTTCCCCCCCACAATTCTGAGTTGACATCTCACGATTGTTTGTCTCTGCATTTTTAGACACCTTTCTGAGAAACTAGTCAAAATTGTTAGATGTAAACTCAGAAGACAAAAAGTGAGAATTGCTAGTTTGTAATTCACAATTGCAAGAAAAAGTCAGAATTGTGAGATAAAAAGATGCAATAACCTTTTCATATCATATTCTATATATCTTCTAAGAGTATGGTGGTGGATGAGGAGATACCCCCTGACAATGTAAAGCGCTTT